CAGGTCCATCGCCTGGTTCTGGTGGATGAGAACCAGTACCCGCGGGGCATCATCTCTCTCTCCGACATCCTCCAGGCCCTTGTGCTCACTCCTGCAGGTATCGATGCTCTTAACTCTTAGCCTGCGACGCTCCATCTTTCACCACTTGCACCCTTCATTTCTCTCCACTTCAGGTAGGCGCCATCCCCCCCTTCACTGTGCGCCTGCCCCATCCCTGCCACTGGGTCACCTGCACCTTGTCACCTCCCTGCTTGGGCCACCTGCCTCTGCCCCAGTCAAACCAGGCCTGGGGAATGGACGAGGCTGCGACTGGGGTCTGGAGGCACTGGGTGCCAGGTGGGGACAGCAGGACCCAGATGCTACTTGTCCCAGGGTACAGCAGGATCACAGGGTATCCCTGGCATCTGTGAGGGAGAATAGGGGCACCTGCCATGGAGTCATGCCTCTGACCCCCATTCAGGCAGCTTGTGTAATGTTAGTTTTGCAGGTCCCTCGGCTTTGGACTGGATGAGGGATTTGGGGTGTGATTCACCCCACGGCAAAAGCCTATTTTAATCTTCCCTCAAACCTCCCCCCGATATCTGAGCACCTCCAGTGTCATTTCTGGGGGACACCGAGGGGACAACCCCCCACTCACACACCATAGACACGCTGCCCACCATGAGCCATGTGAATAGTGTGACCAACCCACAGGTCCCACCTGGCAGAGCCTCTCACCCCTTCCATCTGCTCTGCACAGAAGGGGTCTAGGAGTGTTGTGTGTTAACCACACATGGGATACCCCCACCATTTCCCCATCATGGTGCCTTTGCTCACCCCATCCCTGGTGCCCACAGGGGTGGCTGTGTCAGGAGCTGCAGGAGCCCACTGGGATGTCCCTCCCTGGGCCAGCTGCCCTCTCTCCTACTCCAGAACTTGCATTCAAGTCAGGAATGGAGGCAAGACCCCAGTGTCCACTGGGGTGGGTTGGGAGGACCATGACACAGGGTGCCCAGTCCAGAACTGTTTTGGGTTATGGCCTTGCACACTCTTCCCCTGCAGGCATTGATCGATCGTTGCTCTGAAGACATCAGGGAAGTTCTTGTCTGACTTGGGGGTCTCTTGCATGGCCTGTGAGGAGGCTTAGGCCTGAAGGCTCTCTGCAGAGAGGACCTGCCTGTTCATCCCAGTCCTGGGCTTCGTCTTGAGTCTGGGGCCAGAGCCTGCCAGCCATGGGGAGGCAGAAAGTGTGGAAAAGGGGGCTCAGGGGTGCCTCCTGCCAGCAAGCACAGTGATGCTCGATGAGCACTGTGTTGGAGGAGCTGTGACATGCCAGCAGCTGGGCACGGAGACCCATGTAGCCCCAGAGAACTTGGCCACTCCACTCCCATCCTGCTGCCAGATTTGAGTGCTTTAGTTGCGGCTCCCTCCTGGTTGAACACAGTGCCGCTGGCTGTGTCTGGTGCCCAGTGGCACAGGCTCAGCTGCACACACAGGCTTGCTTATTGTAGGGTCACATGGGGCTGGAGCTCCCTGGCAGAGCCACAGCCTGCACCAGAGCTGGCACCAGGATGGGCACTTGCATGGGGACCCTGTGCACATTTTGGGGTTGGCAGGGAGTATTTATTTGTTCAGCCTTGTAACAAAGCAGCAGCCTGCTCCAAGAAGTGCTTCTTGCCTCTCTGGGGTTAAGCAGGGCATGGCTCTCCTGAAGAGAGCTGGACTGGGAGGGCGTACCGACTGCTTGGCAGGACTGGGGGACCCAGCCTGGATTACCAGCACAGGTGGCATGGGCACAGGGTGGCACCTCTGCCCATGTGGGTAGAGCCAAGGGGACAGGGACATGGAGCACGCAGCCTTGATCATAGTGATGGTGTGCAGGTCCCTTTGGGGACCCCCCAGGGACAGCAGCCTTGGTGCCAACAAGGTTTCTGCCTGCTGTTTCCCTCAGTCCAAGAAGAAGGAAAGTGAGGTGTTCAATGTTAGGGTGTCCCATGCCCCAGCCCACCAGGACCCCGGGCAAGTGGCCCCGGATCTCCTGCCTATGGCTGCTACCAGCTCTGAGCCCTTGTGAGGGCCCTAGGTATCAGCCCCATGCCCCTTGGGATTAGGGTGAGCCGAGCTGATCTTCCCCCACTTGCTTTGCCTGGAGCAAGCCCTGCCATTCCCATGACCCCGTATTAGCATCTCAGTCCAATAATGGCTGATAGTAGAAGGTCCTGGGTGCTGCACACCCCTTGTGTGCTGATTGGCTCTGCCACGGGACAAGATACCAGTGCTGAGTGGTGACAGGCCTCCTCCCATCGTGGGGGACCGGCTGTGTTATGGCTTCACTTTCCCAGGACCAGGGCTGACTCCAGCCCTTGGGAGAGGAGCAAACCCCAAACCCTACCAGCGCACAACCCTACCCTGGGAGGCAGGGGGTAAACTGAGGCACAGAGAAGTTTCTGAGGCCAAGGTCAGCTGTTCAGAAAGGATCCAGATGTCCTGGCTCCAGGCACAGATCCACACGCAGCTACACAAGAACGGGACGAAGGA